GTTTCAGGGAGAGAGCGTGTTATCTAGCGTGGTCAACAATCTGAACAAGGCCAACACGATCAAACCCTCGGTCACGATGACTTGTGACGTCGTGCTAGCATGGCTATCGTCGGCATCCAAGGGTTCCGTTAACCCAATTTCACTCACAAGGCTTGGGTCAACCCGTGGTATAGTATGGCACCATATATATATATATATATAGTCAAACCTAGAGAGCCAAACAAACCTACCAAGGTTTCACCTAAGCGGATCGTCAGGGAAAGCTGACGTTCCGAGACGAGTGTTACCTATATATATATATATATATATATATATATATATATATATATATATATATATGTTTGTGTGTATGTATGTAGGCAGCATATTTTGGTTAAATAATTTAGACATATGTCTGTTTATCTTTGTTTTAATCCTTTCAAGGCCACAAATCAATTTCTTGGTAGCCGTAGAAAATTGATTAAGAAAAATACCAAAATTTTCTTTTACAGTGACCATTTCAATGTAGGCATATGCATATACATCTTATAAGTGTCAAATTATCTCAAGAATAAATAGACATATATTTGTGTTCGCGTAAGATTGTAGAAATATCACGGATGGATCCATAGAAATGATTTAGTTGTTAAGTATAGGTCTCAGCATTCGAGTGTAGGTTCCATAAAGATTAGGCTTTAGGGTTTAAGTTAATGTCCAGGCATTGGTACCATACATTAACCCCGCCTATACAGCGGTTCGAAAGAATCTTAATGTTGTCTGGTAGATTATATTTCCAAATTACATCCATTTTATTCAAGGTGGTCCAGGTTTTAGCTATACGAATTTTCACGTCCTTTTTTATCATAATTTATCTCGATTCCCAGGTATGTAAAAGAATTCGACATATTGATTCTCCTGAGACAGTTTGGATTGAGCCTTGCTGGTTGAAGCCGATGAATTCAGTATTAGTGTGGCATTCTGTGTCAATATAACTGGTAAATGCAGGTGATTGCCGGGCGACCAACTCTTCTTGCTCCATGGTTAAATGTCCAGAGCAGCAGACCACTCGTAAGTTATTGTTTTGCTCGTCAGAATTGTCCTGCAAGTCTCATTCTTCGTTCAGGTAAGATTATAGAAATATCAGGAATGGACCCATAGAACTGTGATTTAGTTGGTTGTTGTCTCCAAGAGATTTATGTATGGCTTTCAGCATCCAAATGTAGATTCCTTCAAGCTTAGGTTTGAAGTTAATGTCCCGGCAGTAGCACCATACATTAACACCGTCTCTACAACGGTGCGAAAGATTAATATTGTCTGGTAGATTATATTTCCAAATAAAATCCATTTTATTTAAGGTAGTCCTGGTTTTAGCTATGCGAATTTTCATATCCTTTTTTATTAAAATTTATCTCGATTCCCAGGTATGTAAAAGAATCCGACATATTGATTCGCCTGAAACAGTTTGTATAGAGCCTTGCTAGTTGTAGCCTATGAAGTCAGTTTGATAGGCATTGGTATAAAGTCTATCATTGACAGCATTTTCGAGATGTGGCATTTGGTAATGGTGTCTGCTGTGATAATTAGGTCATCAAATCTCTCAGCTTTTTTGTAGGATATCGACTTGAAAGTCTTCGTGATAAAGTAAAACCTATATAAGTTATTAGTGGTGAAATATTCGTCCTTAATAATTTTGCTTGCAGTCATTTTTAAAATTGTAATAAAATAATAAAGTAATAAGAACAAAATGTAAATGAAGACAAAAACAAAAGCGAAAAATAATTAAAAAAAGATAAAACTTACAATTAAAAATAGACATCTTTTTAATAAATAAAAATAGCAAACAAAACTAACAGTAGAAAAAAAAATTAAACGCTCACTTTAAAAACATTTCTTTTTTGGTTTTGTTTTTCTTAATGCTTTTTTTTCACAGAAACCTTTAAAAAAGCATTCCATTAAGAAATGTAAAAGTTGGCATCACTTAGAAACCGAAACAAAATAAAATCATAACGAGCAAATCCCAGTTGCCACGAGGCGTTCGACAAACGGCAGTTTCGTCAGCCATTTTGTTTTTACCAATGACATTTTTCAATAAATTTAAGGCCTTGACTCTTCATCTTTTTTTCACGAAAATCAGAACAAAAGATTTTTTTTTACTTTATAATGGAGAACAAAATATAAAAATAGAAACATTTTCCATTTATTTTGCCGCCAACAGTGAATTTTTTTTTTGTTCGACTGAATAAATTTGTTTCTACGTATACACATGAATTTAAATAGACGAAGGTTTAGTTAAAAGATCTCGGCCCGACCCACGTCCTAAATCTAACGTAATGACAGACAGAAGAATTTTGGAAGGAAGGGCTTCGAGAATATTTTCAGCGCTTCTTTCTAAATTCCGTCTTGTTTAATTTTTCTCTTTCCTTTCATATATTCTTTCTATTTTTACGTCCATTTCTCTCTTTTTTTTCTACCTGATTTCGCTTTTTCTTATTTTCTCTCTTTCTCACGCTTTCTCTTGATTTCCTTCCTTTTCTCGCTCTTTCCTTAGTTCTTTTTCTCTCTTTCTCCTTCTCTGTTTATTTCATCATTCCTTTCTTTCCTTTTTTTCTTTATCCTTGTTTCTGTTTCTTTTTATCTTTCTTTCTCTCAAACTCCCTTTCTCTATTCTCTTTCCTTCTTTCTCTTACTATTTCTTTCTTTTCATGTCTTTCTTTCTATATTTTCTCACTCTTTATCCTTAGTTATCTATCAACATCTCTCTCGCTCACTCCCTATATATTTCTTTTTTTTTCTCTTGCTCTTTATTTACCTCTTTCTCGTTACTTCCTTTGATCCTTTTTCTTTCTGTCATTCATTCTTTCTTTTTTTCTTTTTTTCTTTCTTTCTTTCTTTCTTTCTTTCTTTCTTTCTTTTACCACTCTTTCTTAAACAAATCCTTTCCGTATTTCTTTTTTCTTTCCTTCTTTTACTCCTCTCTCTCTTTCAGACTCCTTCTTTCTTTCCCCCTATCTTCCACACATTCTCTCCTTTCTTTTTTTATCTTTCTTCAGTTAATTTGTCTATATTTCTCTCTTTTCCATTATTTATCGCTTTATCTTTCTATATTTCTCTCTATTTCTCTCGATGTCTCTGCCTTTCTTTTATCTTACTCTCATTTTCTCTTTTCCTCTCTGTCACTTTTTATGGACTAATGCTAAAAATACAAAATTTATAAAAATAAATCAAATAAAATTCTTTACATCGAAGTTCTAAGAAATTCCAAGGGAAATCATGAAATGTTTTTCATCTCTGAATTTTAAGGTTTTGGCTTAAGTTTTAGAAAAAATAAAAAAAATAAACGATAGAATATTTTATAGTAAATTTTACAAGCACATGAAAGCGAGTTTATAAAACGGTTTTATGTCACCCGTGATAGCAAGCACTCAAAGTACAATAACTACATTGGATAGAGTAACTTTTCAATTGCAAAAACTCTATTTTTCTGCAGGATCCGATTTCTAATACAGGGCCCTTATCTATTGCTTCCCCTGTACACTCAAGGTTAAAGCGTACTGTATACCAAAGTTGTCACCCATCCAGCGCGATGTTGCTTAAGTTCGGTTCTCGGGAACCGGGGTTTCTAGGTGATAAGACCGTAAGCCGCATGTCCAAGAGTACAGCGTCTGGTATTCCCAAGCAGTCACTCATCGAGATATTAACCTGGCTTGATGTTACTTAATTCTGGTTCCGGTACAAGAACCGATGTTCCTACGTGATATGACCGTAAGCTCTACCGCCAGCACATCCATCTTTACGGCATTTGGTATTCCTAAGCCTTCACCCATTCAGATACTGACCTGATGCCGCGTTGCTTACCATCGGTGATAGTACGATAACTGGTGTTCCAACGTGATATATCCGTAAGCTATACCACCCACACATCCAAGTTTACTGCACCTGGTTATCCCAAGATTTCACCCATCGAGATACTGACCTAAAGCGACGTTACATAACTTCTGTGATCGGACCAGAACCGGTATTTCAACATGATACGGCCGTAAACCTCAAATTGTATGAAAAAATAAATAAAATACTGATAACAGTCTTAGCAACAGAATGCATTAAATATTTATATGTTAAAGTTCTAAGTAAAATTTAATATTTTCCCGATTTTTTGTTTCTTCAGTGCAGGTTATTGCTCATGTGGCTTATCACATCTTTTGGTGGGGAGGGGGTTATGGGCATCTCGACGTGGTGTAATGGTTAGCAAGCTTGTCTCGCTAGGATAATTATGAATGAATAGTGAATTCGATCCTCACTGGGTGTCCCATAATTTCGGCGTTGTGTCACATCTAGACCAATCTTAGAAAATCACTATCATAACCGTCCTTGTCAACATCGATGTAGCAAATTACTCGCCGTCTCACTGTCTAGGAAAATCCAATACGCAAAAAAACAAACTAGTTACTTTCCAACATTACCAGGATGAATATTCGCCTATCGCGATGAGTTACTTTTAGCGAACAGAACTGTAACATGGAGCGATGTTACTTCGGTGCTCGTTCGAGAACCAGTGTTTCTACGTGAAAATGACTGTGAGCTATCCCATCAGCATTTCCATGTTTTCGGCATTTGGTATTTGTAAGCCTTCACTCATCGAGATACTGACATTACATTGCTTAACTTCGGTGAGCGTACGAGAACCAGTGTTTCTACGTGAAAATGACTGTGAGCTATCCCATCAGCATTTCCATGTTTTCGGCATTTGGTATTTGTAAGCCTTCACCCATCGAGATACTGACCTGACATTACATTTTCTTAACTTCGGTGAGCGTACGAGAACCAGTGTAAGTTTATACGTGAAAATAACTGTGAGCTATCCCATCAGCATTTCCATGTTTTCGGCATTTGGTATTTTTGTAAGCCTTCACCCATCGAGATACTGACCTGACATTACATTGCTTAACTTCGGTGAGCGTACGAGAACCGGTGTTTCTACGTGAAAATGACTGTAAGCTATCCCATCAGCATTTCCATGTTTTCGGCATTTGGTATTCGTAAGCCTTCACCCATCGAGATACTGACCTGACATTACATTGCTTAACTTCGGTGAGCGTACGAGAACCGGTGTTTCTACGTGAAAATGACTGTAAGCTATCCCATCAGCACTTCCATGTTTTCGGCATTTGGTATTTGTAAGCCTTCACCCATCGAGATACTGACCTGACATTACATTGCTTAACTTCGGTGAGCGTACGAGAACCGGTGTTTCTACGTGAAAATGACTGCATTTGCCTTATCCCATCAGCACTTCCATGTTTTCGGCATTTGTATTTGGCATTTCACCCATCGAGATACTGACCTGACATTACATTGCTTAACTTCGGTGAGCGTACGAGAACCGGTGTTTCTACGTGAAAATGACTGTAAGCTATCCCATCAGCACTTCCATGTTTTCGGCATTTGGTATTTGTAAGCCTTCACCCATCGAGATACTGACCTGACATTACATTGCTTAACTTCGGTGAGCGTACGAGAACCGGTGTTTCTACGTGAAAATGACTGTAAGCTATCCCATCAGCACTTCCATGTTTTCGGCATTTGGTATTTGTAAGCCTTCACCCATCGAGATACTGACCTGACATTACATTGCTTAATTCGGTGAGCGTACGAGAACCGGTGTTTCTACGTGAAAATGACTGTAAGCTATCCCATCAGCACTTCCATGTTTTCGGCGAGTAAGCCTTACCCATCGAGATACTGACCTGACATTACATTGCTTAACTTCGGTGAGCGTACGAGAACCGGTGTTTCTACGTGAAAATGACTGTAAGCTATCCCATCAGCACTTCCATGTTTTCGGCATTTGGTATTTGTAAGCCTTCACCCATCGAGATACTGACCTGACATTACATTGCTTAACTTCGGTGAGCGTACGAGAACCGGTGTTTCTACGTGAAAATGACTGTGAGCTATCCCATCAGCATTTCCATGTTTTCGGCATTTGGTATTTGTAAGCCTTCACCCATCGAGATACTGACCTGACATTACATTGCTTAACTTCGGTGAGCGTACGAGAACCGGTGTTTCTACGTGAAAATGACTGTAAGCTATCCCATCAGCACTTCCATGTTTTCGGCATTTGGTATTTGTAAGCCTTCACCCATCGAGATACTGACCTGACATTACATTGCTTAACTTCGGTGAGCGTACGAGAACCAGTGTTTCTACGTGAAAATGACTGTGAGCTATCCCATCAGCATTTCCATGTTTTCGGCATTTGGTATTTGTAAGCCTTCACCCATCGAGATACTGACCTGACATTACATTGTTTAACTTCGGTGAGCGTACGAGAACCAGTGTTTCTACGTGAAAATAACTGTGAGCTATCCCATCAGCACTTCCATGTTTTCGGCATTTGGTATTTGTAAGCCTTCACCCATCGAGATACTGACCTGACATTACATTGCTTAACTTCGGTGAGCGTAGAGAACCGGTGTTTCTACGTGAAAATGACTGTGAGCTATATCCCATCAGCAGCCTTCACCCATCGAGATTGACCTGACATTACATTGCTTAACTTCGGTGAGCGTACGAGAACCGGTGTTTTTCGGAAAATGACTGTGAGCTATCCCATTTGGTATTTGGTATTTGTAAGCCTTCACCCATCGAGATACTGACCTGACATTACATTGCTTAACTTCAGTGAGCGTAAGAGAACCAGTGTTTCTACGTGAAAATGACTGTGAGCTATCCCATCAGCACTTCCATGTTTTCGGCATTTGGTATTTGTAAGCCTTCACCCATCGAGATACTGACCTGACATTACATTGCTTAACTTCGGTGAGCGTACGAGAACCAGTGTTTCTACGTGAAAATGACTGTGAGCTATCCCATCAGCATTTCCATGTTTTCGGCATTTGGTATTTGTAAGCCTTCACCCATCGAGATACTGACCTGACATTACATTGCTTAACTTCGGTGAGCGTACGAGAACCGGTGTTTCTACGTGAAAATGACTGTGAGCTATCCCATCAGCATTTCCATGTTTTCGGCATTTGGTATTTGTAAGCCTTCACCCATCGAGATACTGACCTGACATTACATTGCTTAACCAGTGTTTCTTCGGTGAGCGTATCGAGATACTGACCTGAACGGTGTGAGCGTACGAGAACCAGTGTTTCTATGAAAATGACTGTGAGCTATCCCATGTTTCCATGTTTTCGGCATTTGGTATTTGTAAGCCTTCACCCATCGAGATACTGACCTGACATTACATTGCTTAACTTCGGTGAGCGTACGAGAACCGGTGTTTCTCGTGAAAATGACTAAGCTATCCAAAAGCAGCCTTCCATGTTTTCGGCATTTGGTATTTGTGGCCTTCACCCATCGAGATACTGACCTGACATTACATTGCTTAACTTCGGTGAGCGTACGAGAACCGGTGTTTCTACGTGAAAATGACTGTAAGCTATCCCATCAGCATTTCCATGTTTTCGGCATTTGGTATTTGTAAGCCTTCACCCATCGAGATACTGACCTGACATTACATTGCTTAACTTCGTACGAGAACCAGTGTTTCTACGTGAAAATGACTGTAAGCTATCCCATCAGCATTTCCATGTTTTCGGCATTTGGTATTTGTAAGCCTTCACCCATCGAGATACTGACCTGACATTACATTGCTTAACTTCGGTGAGCGTACGAGAACCGGTGTTTCTACGTGAAAATGACTGAGCTATCCCATCAGCATTTCCATGTTTTCGGCATTTGGTATTTGTAATGACCTTCACCCATCGAGATACTGACCTGACATTACATTGTTTAACTTCGGTGAGCGTACGAGAACCAGTGTTTCTACGTGAAAATGACTGTGAGCTATCCCATCAGCACTTCCATGTTTTCGGCATTTGTATTTGTAAGCCTTCACCCATCGAGATACTGACCTGACATTACATTGCTTAACTTCGGTGAGCGTACGAGAACCAGTGTTTCTACGTGAAATCGAGATATGACATTGTAAGCTATCCCATCAGCGGTGTTTTCCATCCATGTTTTCGGCATTTGGTATTTGAAAAATAGCCTTCACCCATCGAGATACTGACCTGACATTACATTGCTTAACTTCGGTTACGTAAGCTAGCACTTCCAACGGCAGCCTTCACCCATCGAGATACTGACCTGACATTACATTTAACTTCGGCGTAAAACCGGAGCGTGACATTACATTGAAATGACTGTAAGCTATCCCATCAGCACTTCCATGTTTTCGGTATTTGGTATTTGTAAGCCTTCACCCATCGAGATACTGACCTGACATTACATTGCTTAACTTCGGTGAGCGTACGAGAACCAGTGTTTCTACGTGAAAATGACTGTGAGCTATCCCATCAGCACTTCCATGTTTTCGGCATTTGGTATTTGTAAGCCTTCACCCATCGAGATACTGACCTGACATTACATTGCTTAACTTCGGTGAGCGTACGAGAACCGGTGTTTCTACGTGAAAATGACTGTAAGCTATCCCATCAGCACTTCCATGTTTTCGGCATTTGGTATTTGTAAGCCTTCACCCATCGAGATACTGACCTGACATTACATTGCTTAACTTCAGTGAGCGTAAGAGAACCAGTGTTTCTACAATGAAAATGACTGTAGCTATCCCATCCAGCACTTCCATGTTTTCGGCATTTGGTATTTGTAAACCCATCGAGATACTGACCTGACATTACATTGCTTAACTTCGGTGAGCGTACGAGAACCGGTGTTTCTACGTGAAAATGACTGTGAGCTATCCCATCAGCACTTCCATGTTTTCGGCATTTGGTATTTGTAAGCCTTCAATCGAGATACTGACCTGACATTACATTGCTTAATCGGTGAGCGTACGAGAACCAGTGTTTCACGTGAAAATGACTGTGAGCTATCCATCAGCACTTCCATGTTTTCGGCATTTGGTATTTATAAGCCTTCACCCATCGAGATACTGACCTGACATTACATTGCTTAACTTCGGTGAGCGTACGAGAACCAGTGTTTCTACGTGAAAATGACTGAAAAGCTATCCCATCAGCATTTCCATGTTTTCGGCATTTGGTATTTGTAAGCCTTCACCCATCGAGATACTGACCTGACATTACATTGCTTAACTTCGGTGAGAACCGGTGTTTCTACGAAAATGAACATGTTTTCGGCATTTGGTATTTGTAAGCCTTCACCCATCGAGATACTGACCTGACATTACATTGCTTAACTTCGGTGAGCGTACGAGAATGACGTGAAAATGACTGTGAGCTATCCCATCAGCATTTTCCATGTTTTTCGGCATTTGGTATTTGTAAGCCTTCACCCATCGAGATACTGACCTGACATTACATTGCTTAACTTCGGTGAGCGGTGAGCGTACGAGAACCAGTGTATTTTCTTCACCCATCGAGATACTGACCTGACATTAAAATGAGCGTACGAGTAAGCTATCCCATCAGCATTTCCATGTTTTCGGCATTTGGTATTTGTAAGCCTTCACCCATCGAGATACTGACCTGACATTACATTGCTTAACTTCGGTGAGCGTACGAGAACCAGTGTTTCTACGTGAAAATGACTGTGAGCTATCCATCAGCATTTCCATGTTTTCGGCATTTGGTATTTTGTAAGCCTTCACCCATCGGATACTGACCTGACATTACATTGCTTAACTTCGGTGAGCGTACGAGAACCGGTGTTTCTACGTGAAAATGACTAAGTTTCCATGTTTTCGGCAGCTATCCATCAGCATTTCTTCCATGTTTTCGGCATTTGGTATTTGTAAGCCTTCACCCATCGAGATACTGACCTGACATTACATTGCTTAACTTCGGTGAGCGTACGAGAACCAGTGTTTCTACGTGAAAATGACTGTGAGCTATCCCATCAGCACTTCCATGTTTTCGGCATTTGGTATTTTAAGCCTTCACCCATCGAGATACTGACCTGACATTACATTGCTTAACTTCGGTGAGCGTACGAGAACCGGTGTTTCTACGTGAAAATGACTGTAAGCTATCCCATCAGCACTTCCATGTTTTCGGCATTTTGGTATTTGTAAGCCTTCACCCATCGAGATACTGACCTGACATTACATTGCTTAACTTCGGTGAGCGTAAGAGAACC